GTTAAACTACAAGACGGCAGCTAACCAACAAATTATAGAAGAATATAATGGTAAAAACATCCATTGGGAAGTTTACCAAATGTCGGTAGACATTTGCTTAATATTAAGCAAATGTCTACCGCCAATAGATTTAATGAGTGTTCGCAGGAATAAGTTTGTAAAATATACTATGACATAAAAAAAGTGTGTGATAAATTTATCAGTAATTCATTTTTAGTTATAAATAATGATAAAGTACAAAATCATAAATCAAAAAAACATATTATTTCTTTAAATAAAATTTGAAACAAGACTAAATAAGGTAATGATGAAAAATTGTACTCGAACGATGAGTAATATAGGGGAAATGAGATTAATCTTATCTCCAGAATAATATTTTGATATAGAAACGATTATCATTGTGTGATAGATTACATTTTCAATTTTACGTTGAAAATACCGACTGCATTATTCAATTATAATTTCGAAACTTTTATTGAGGAATAATGGCATAACGTAATGTAATAACTAGTGATTACAATTTTGATAATTACTTATTTAAATTTGATTTCCTGTAATTACAATTCACTTAATGATAGTGAAATGCCTTTCAAATTCGTAATTTATGTATTTTATTGTTTTACGTTTATGGAAAAACACATTACAATTTTAGATTTATGTAATCAATAAAATTTAGTATTATTACTTTCCTTAATTTGTTAATACATTTTATAGATTATATCAATTTTAATTCAAATTTCAATGTTTCTTTATATATTTTCTTATTTATTTTAATCTAATTGTTACTAATTCCGTATCAAAATATAATTTCACTTAATATCTATAACAGAGTTTCTCAACCTTTGGGTCAATTGACAGATGGTGACAGCTGTCATTTCGCAAGAAATATTTAACCAATTTTTAACAAAAAATGACAGCTGTCACATTGCCTCACTGTCGATACTTTTCCTTGTAAGGTTGAAAAACATTGATCTATTGATAGTATTATTACTTTCCTTAATATGTTAATACATTTTATAGATTATATGCATTTTAATTCAAATTTCAATGTTTCTTTATATATTTTCTTATTTATTTTAATTTAATTATTACTAATTCTGTATCAAAATATAATTTCACTTAATATCTATAACAGAGTTTCTTAACCTTTAGGTCAGTTGACAGATGGTGACAGCTGTCATTTCGCTAGAAATATTTAACCAATTTTTAATAAAAAATGACAGCTGTCACATTGCCTCAATGTCGATACTTTTCCTTGTAAGGTTGAGAAACATTGATCTACTATAGTATTATAACTTTCATTAATATGTTAATACATTTTATAGATTATATCAATTTTAATCCAAATTTCAATGTTTCTTTATATATTTTCTTATTTATTTTAATCTAATTATTACTAATTCCGTATCAAAATATAATTGCACTTAATATCTATAACAGAGTTTCTCATCCTTTCGGTCACTTGACAGATGGTGACAGCTGTCATTTCGCTAGAAATATTTAACCAATTTTTAACAAAAAAATGACAGCTGTCACATTGCCTCAATGTCGATACTTTCCCTTGTAAGGTTGAGAAACATTGATCTACAATAGTGCTAAATATTTTATTCTGAGTTTCTTAATGCAATAATTCTCAATTTGAAATAGAAATGCTTTAAGTTTACATAACAAAAGACTAAATAATTATTTACTTTTCAAAGAAAACTACCTTTCCGTAACCAAAAATGTGCGTTTCTTAAGCTCGAACATTTACATATATATTACAAGAATAATTAGATAAATTATTTCATTAGAGAGAGAGAGAAAAAAAAGAAAAACAAAGGAATGCCACGGAGCTTCTTTTGTGCTTCACTATTTAATAAGTGCAGTGTAGTCCGTATAAACCGGAAACGGATTTCCTTGGTCTGAACACACTCCAGAATGCGAGTTCTTAACGAGCCTTTTATTATTAATATGATTGTTACATAACTAAACTCAATACAATGATGGAAATCGAAGATGTAATCCGGTTGTCTATTTCTGCATTTAAATACATCCAAATACCTTGAAATTGAATAAAGGATGGGCAATATCAATCAACCTTGTGTTGTGTACCGGACCCTTCGACGGTGCACGCTAACTGTACTCGCAGCACACGTACTCTTTCAGAGTCTCGGAAATTGTTGACAAAGTATTCAAATCGAATCGAATCGAAAGCGACGGCAATAGAATTGAGAGAAGAAGGGAAAAAAATATATATGGTTACATAAACAAAGAACAGTTAGTGCTATTAATACATTTATAATTGATATTCGCACATCGATAACCAATCAGTTAAATGGAAACACGCCAGTTGATCATGATGATGTGCGGTGCTAATGAACATCGCACATGCACACATCTCGATGCACCAGTTCCATTCTGAACGCTTCGTTTGTTTCACATGGGGCTGAAACGGCCCTCAGTGGTGAATTTAATTTAAGTGCATTTAGATGTATCAAACTTAGTAAATGCATTATACGTAATAAACGTATTAAAGTAGAGATTTAATTATAACTGCTCTGAAACATAATTAAGTTTAATTTATTAAATTAACGTTATATGTTAAATTTACTCTTTAATCATCAATAATTTGAGGAAGCAGTTTATGTGATGAATATGTATAAGATACTTTATTTGCAACTCAATTAGTTGAAATGAAGAAAAGTGTACATTTTTGCAGGAAAATCTCGTGCAAATTAAAGTTCTTGAAAATTGGACTTCAGTTTATTTTAGCTGTCTTTATAAAATTTTACAGAAATGCTCTAAAGATTAAAGTTTCATAGAATCTGAAGTCCAATTTCTTGTAAACATCAGATTATTGTAAATAATATCTCTAAACAACTAATATCATATAGAATCCAATTTGAAAGTATTACTTTAATGATTAAATGTAATAATTTGGTAAACTTAAAGAGTATCAATCCTTGTAGGGATTCCTGAGAGATTAAAGTTGCACGGAAGTTAAGTTACAGGAAATCTAGAGGTATTCGTGCTGGATATCGTGTTGCTGCGCATTTTCGCACAATCTCGGTTTCGTTTCCTCGAATTGCGGCGTTTCAGGAAGTCGATCCGTGATTAACACTTACATGACTCGATGCTGGTGGTCCTTCTGCAGCATTTCGTTGCGCTTAAGGACACCCATGATAATCTGGCGCTCGGTGACGGATAATCTTGATGCTTCCCTGGAGGCGGCCGATACAAGAGCATGAGAACATCCAGGATCGGGGCAACAATCCGGCTTCCTGAGCATATTATTAACTAACGACTTATGGTGGTTCCGTATTAAATTACAAAAAACAAAACAAAAAAATGCTATCCGACGATTATTATTATTATTCAACGAGCGTTTGTTTTGAGCAAATCGGTTTATTATTGTTGATGATTATTGATGATTTTGATATTGTAGTTCTTGTTGATGTGTTTTCTTGATTTCTGTTTAGATGTTAATAGTGTTTGATTGCGGGCCGAGAACTACTACAGCTTCTACAGCTACTACATTCCGATTCCGCACAGACTACTACATCCCGCGGCACATTTCCCGGCGACTGCCAGTTTTCCACTGCCGAACCACCGTGTCTGGCCGGTTTTCCTCAACTGTTGCATCCGTTCCGTACGCAGGATCCAGTTTCCATAGAGACCCCCAGCATCTGCCGCATTGTCTTCCTGATGGTTGACGTCAGTGAATTAGGATTCTCGCTGGCGCTACCTGAGGGAGGTCCATCAACAGGTGAACAACGCCAGGATGTCAGGTTCTCTATATGTGTGTGTGTTTGTATGTGTGTCAGTCTCTGCAAGGGCGGACACCCTTATCTGTTGGCCTGGAATAAAGCCATACATACACACACACACGCGCACGTACTTCGCCCTTCCGGATATCCGTTTCGATTCGATTCGATTTGCAGCCACCATCGTGTTGCCGAGCATTGTCTGTGCATTCCCGATGGATGAAACAGTTCGGATTTCAATGGATCTGGGCCATGTCTGCGTCTGCTAAATATTTCCAATTTAATTAAGCTTGCCTCTCTCTCTCTCTCTATCTCATACCAATCGCAATTTTCCTCAACTTTCTTTGCGGACAACGCTGCGAATAGAATGGAAGCTGGCATTGATTCCAATTGATGTCGCCAAAAAGTTTCGATATTTTTCTCCGAAACACTTTCAAAGGACATTCCTACAAAGCCATAAGTCCTTCAACGAATCGAACTTCAGAACTTTTTTTCAGCGACTGAAACCACATATCAAAATACCCTTGCATCGTTTCCAATATTCCTAACACCAGTTATATTTATTTTATTGAAATCGCTTATTAAGATTACTACTATCTTACTATTACATCAAAGTAACAGTCGATAAACCGTAGCTTATTTAGAAAGTTTAATAAATTTAAACCATATCAAATATCGAAAAATTGAATTCAAAGCAATGTAAACTTCATTTCTGCTTTAATATAAACGCTTTTAAACACATTTATTAAACAATTACAAATGCAATTACAACAATGATTAAATTTTGTAATCTAGGTATAATGTTGTTTCAGGTAATTAATAAAATAAAATTTAAATCAATAAACTCTATTCTGAAATTTAATCCTGCATATAACCCAACCTAAAGTCTGTTTCACACAAGGCCAACCAAAGAGGTATACTGCTTATATTTTATATAACAGTACTAGTATTTCTAGTATATCAACATGATTAAGTAACAAATTACAAACATATTCTTATCTAATCTGGATTAATTAAATTCAATATAATTTAATCCAGCTGTTGTTTGGGTTGCCTGTATATGATACAAGGCATGATACAAATTTATTGTTTTTATTATGTTATTAATGGAATTAATTGAAATGATTATAATTAATGGATGTTATTTAAGATATTTATTTTAAGTTGTTTTTGTAAATCAATAATTGCAATTATCAGTATATTAGCGACACCTTACGAGTATTTTCTACAATCATCATAAATCACAATAATAGTGGATGTTGAGTGTATCAAACAGCTGATATATTTCGGCTTTTGCTTGCTAACCATTGCTAACCATGAGCAAGATGAGTATAAGATCACAATTGTCTTATATGAACCGTTACGATGTTCATAAGATGTTAATAAATGAGTATGTGCTCAAGAATCCTGGCGATACAAAGTTTCTGCAGAGAGACACATCCAAAGATAAAAGAGACTTTGATGTTATCAGAGAGAATCACAAGTTCTTGTGGGATGAGAGTGATTCCACAGAATCGTGGGGACAACGGTTTGCCAAAAAGTATTATGACAAGTTGTTCAAAGAGTACTGCATTGGGGACCTCAGCAGATACAAGGAGAACAAGGTTTGATTCTTACCGTAAATAATCTTGTTAAAACCTAAGTAACTAATATAAGGTAATTTTCTATTAAGATAGCCCTGCGCTGGAGAACGCAGCAAGAGGTTGTTGTGGGTAGAGGACAGTTCTCATGTGGGAACAAGAAATGTGAGGAGAGAGATGACTTGAAGACTTGGGAAGTTAACTTTGGATATGTTGAGGATAGTGTGAAGAAAAACGCTTTGGTCAAAATAAGTAAGTTTCTGATTCCATTTGTGATTGTTCTTATTAAATATGTATTTTTTTGGTAATTGATTTAGGATTATGTGAACCTTGCTCCAAGAAGTTGAATTACCACACTAAGAAAAAGGAGGTGAAGCGTTTGAAGAAACATGTAAAGAGGAGATCCAGTGGTGAGAAGAAAAAGGATATTGCTGAGGTGGAAAAAGTGGCGGAGAGTGAAGTTATCAAAGAAGCACAGACAAGCGAAGAATCATCACCATGGGCTAATGTCAAACAAACAGATGTTAAGAGTAGAGAGGAAGAGATGGAGGAGTACCTTGAAGATTTACTATTGTAAAGAGTTAAATAAAATAAAAAAGGTTTATTTGTAAACTCACAGTTAAAAACAAAATAAATATATAAGTCGTTATAAACTATGATCTTTTTCCTTAAAAAAAACAAACAATATAAAATATAAAATCTAACTTTAACAATATAATATTATCATCGTCTTCTCAATTCCATCGTTCATAATTTTTATTTAACTTTTATTAAACTTTATAATGCTCTTCGTTTATTGTATATTTAGAAACTAATTATTTTTAGAGAAGAAAAATGAAAACAAGTGTGCTTTAATTGCATTAACTGGCAGCGAACTGCGTATTATTAACATTATTTACGATTATTAAATTCACTGTTTTTTTTATATACGTTTCAACTAAAACTACAGAAAAGAACGGTAACTCGTCAACAAGTGGATTGAGTAATTGATTCAATCGGATTTCTCGCCGTTCTTCGCTGAGGTTTTATCACTGTCGTCGTCGGAGAAGTCTTCGTCGTGATTGTGGGTCACAGAGCGCGGAGTCTCGGGTCTCACGTGCGGTATTTGACTCTGGGATCGTTCCAGAACCTGAGTTTGTTTGATTGGTATTATTAATGGGGGGAAAGCTCTTTATATGAAAAATACTCACTTTATGCTGAGAGGTTTTCACGTCGGTCTCGTCGTCCATGGAGAACACTTTTGAGCGGGAGACGTACGGAGATTCGAGGACGAACCTCTGTTCATGAGCAACTGTAGATTCGTGGGGTAAGAGCATTGCCGGTGCTCTGAACATGTATGAGAATGGATAGTAGAGCAGGTTCAGGTGTGTAGCTGCGTACAAATCCGCGTACCTTACCACCTAAAAATATACACAAACAAGTATTAAAGATCATTAATTTAGCAAAAAAAAGAGATATATAGCAAAAAAAATGTAAGTGGTAATTGAAAGTACATGAAACTTGATTAGGAAAACTTTCTATTAATTAATTCCACGTAGCAATTGTATAAATAGGTATTTTTTAATGATAAGATCAGAAGCAGTAATAGTACATAATAATTACCTGAGATGAAAAGAAAGTCTGCCTTGAGCCAGAACGGAACAAACTGCCCATCATGCCGTAGGACATGTCCATCTTGTGGGTAGCGTCGCGGATTGACGCACGCAATTTCGAAATATCGGGCTTCTCTTTAGTGCTGCTGTCCAAATTTCTAAATTGAAGAGTAAAATATACTTCCTTTTTTTTGGCAAAACATACGATTAAATCGAATACTCACTTGTACATTTCTCCTAGCTTCACATCGAGCTTCTGCAGATCATCAAACAATTGACACTTATCTGTCCAGACGTGGAGTTCCTGCACCAATTCGGGCACGATCAGGAACGTCCTCCAGCCTCGGATCTTCTTGCTCTTCAGGATATCACCGAAGATGTGATCACCAACGTAGAGTACGTCCTTACCTTTGGCTCCAATCAGTTCCGTGAAAACATCGCAAGAACCTAACGATCAAATAAGATTTTATTGATGCAAGATGAATAATTTGTATTTTTTTTTACCTCCGGAGTACACGTGCTCCTTTTGGAATGGACCGGTATGGATCCCAACCCTTAGAGCTCCAGTTTCTGGATTGACTTGCCTCAAGATCGTTCCTTCTCCAAAGAATAATGGTTTCCTGGCATCGACAACGATTGTATCGAAATAAGTCTTCCAATTCTTGTGAGGTTCTTCAGGCTGCAACAAATAAATTTATAATGCAACAACTTTAAAGATTTGAATACTTAAATGATTGAGTATAAGTTTAAGAGATAATAAATTGTGAATCATACCCTGGCGCCATGAGGAAAATCGAAGAGGTATGTCATAATCTTATCGGTGAAATTGTATCCGCTGTTGGTGAGGAGGAAAGTCTTGGCGCCGCTTTCCCTGAGCCTCGTCAAGAACATAGGTAGCCTGTCATCCTTGTTGACATACTTCTCCAGGTTCTCGGTGGTGCGCTTCTTCAGTTGATCCCCTTGAATGTGAACGAAATCAACCGCATTCCTTACATCCTAAACATCGAAATCCTCATTAAATAACATATTCTAAAACGTAGAGACCTTTGCCAACAGCATCTTTGCCAAGAAATGGTTTCATCATTAATTAACACAGCATCATCGAATCGAATTGCACTGACTAAAACTGACCTGGAAGATTGATTTGAAAGACATGAACATGTCCCCGCATTTCACTCCGGTCTTGCTCTTCGTGTATTGCGGCGAGTTGGTGAAGAAGTCCACCAAGCAAGCCAGGAGATACGTCTCCGGAAGATTGAAGAGGGTGTTGAGCACGTAGACGCGGGATTCGTCCAGGGTGAGGAACTTGTTCGGATAAAGTTCGTAGACTTGAGAGCTACAAGATATAATTGGATGAGAAACGTGAGCTAGATTAAAATTATTAAATACGTACTGCTTGAGAAATTCGAAACCATGCGCGCACACAAGAATGTTTCCGTAGGCGTCGACTTTCAGCAGATTTCCATAATGCGTGTCGAACCACAGACCTCTGCAAGAGAATATATAGTTTAATGATAGCACTTACTAAATATGCGTAAATTCCTCACCTGACTGGGAAGGAAGTGTCGTATTCGAATTCCAAAATTTCTTGAGGATACCCTATGGAGACCATACGCTCCTTGACCAAATCGAAACCTAGGATTTCGTATTCTGGTGATTTATATTCTAAAACAAACCAAAAAAAACTATATAATCCATCCATTAAACAACAAATTTAAATTACAATACCTGCCAAAGTGTAATCCATGTCGAAGCCATAAAATTTTATGTTTTCCAAATGCAGACTGCGATTGACGAAGATTCTAAAACAACAACAAGAAAATAAAATCAATCATAGATATAAATTAACTACACTTTATATTAATTTTCATTTACCTACAACTAGATAATTAATGAAAATGTATACATAAAAACTTAAACATAAAATACAACATCCTATTAACATCGTTCAGTTATTGTTTATTTTTTTTTGTTGCAGGCTTATTTAAAACTAATTAATTTAATAAAAAATAAAACGAATTTAACGTTCGCAGAAGTTGTTTTCCTTCGAGCCGACGCGACTTCAATTTTACTTTTAAATGCATTTAAAACGCGTACATTACACGTTTTACTGCTTTGCCATATATTTTTTGATTGCATTTAATGTCGCAATAGTCGAGACCAAACAGTGTAATTGCTTATTGCGTGGGGATTGTTAATCCGTTCATCAATCATCTCAATTGGAGGAAACCCATCGATGCGTGTATTAATCACAGCAGTGACATTAAATCAATAGCAATTTTTTTTAATATGAAATCTACATTTCTCTTTTAGCAAACACAATATTTTTTAATAACAAATATGTTAACAGTTTTCCTTTCAATCCTTTTTATCATTTTATCCCAAATATTTCAATCTGTATGTAAAATCCAAATTAAATATTTCAGAATAAAAATAAAGGCAAAACAAAAAGTAGCCTTCATATCATTTCAGAGTTCCAAAAGTTAATTACTTAAGTCTATTTTTAACTGTCTCTATGTACATTTAAATAACTTCTGTTAAATATCTTTGGATCGTTACACAGTTCCAAAAGTCAATTACTTAAGTCTATTTTTAACTGTCTCTATGTACACTTAAGTAACTTCTGTGAAATATCTTTGGATTGTCGCAAAGTTCCAAAGGTAAATTACTTAAGTCTATTATTAACTGTTTTTATGTACACTTAAGTAACTTCTATTAAATATCTTTGACTTGTCACAAAGTTCCAAAAGTCAATTACTTAAATCTATTATTAACTGTCTCTATGTACACTTAAGTAACTTCTGTGAAATATCTTTGGATTGTCACAAAGTTCCATAAGTCAATTACTCAAGTCTATTATTAAGTGTCTCTATGTACACTTAAGTAACTTTTGTTAAATATCTTTGGGTTGTCACAAAGTTATAAAAGTTAATTACTTAAGTCTATTATTAACTGTCTCTATGTACACTTAAGTAACTTCTGTAAAATACCTTTGGATTGTCACAAAGTTCTAAGTCTATTTTTAATTATCTCTATGTATACTGAAGTAACTTCTTTTAAATATCTTTGAAGAGTCATAAAGTTCCAAAATTCAATTACTTAAGTATATTATTAACTGTCTCAATGTACACTTAAGTAACTTCTGTGAAATATCTTTGGATTGTCACAAAGTTCCATAAGTCAATTACTTAAATCAATTATTATTTGTCTCTATATACACTTAAGTAAATTCTGTGAAATATCTTTGGATTGTCACAAAGTTCCAAAAGTCAATTACTTAAGTCTATTCTTAACTGTCTCTATGAACACTTTACTAACTTCTGTGAAATATATTTGGATTGTCACAAAGTTCCAAAGGTCAATTACTTAAGTCCATTATTAACTGTCTCTATGTACACTTTAGCAACTTCTGTGAAATATCTTTGGATTGTCACAAAGTTCCAAAAGTCAATTACTTAAGACTTAAGTATTTGACTTAAGTCTTAAGTCTATTCTTAACTGTCTCTATGAACACTTTACTAACTTCTGTGAAATATCTTTGGGTTGTCACAAAACTCCAAAGGTCAATTAGTTAAGTCTATTTTTAACTGTCTCTATGTACATTTAAATAACTTCTGTGAAATATCTTTGGATTGTCACAAAGTTCCAAAAGTCAATTACTTAAGTCTATTTTTAACTGTCTCTATGTACACTTAAGTAACTTCTGAAAAATATCTTTGGATTGTCACAAAGTTCCAAAAGTCAATTGCTCAAGTCTATTATTAACTGTCTCTATGTACACTTAAGTAACTTCTGTAAAATATCTTTGGATTGTCACAAAGTTATAAAAGTTAATTACTTAAGTCTATTTTCAATTGTCTCTATGTACACTTAAGTAACTTCTGTTAAATATCTTTGGATTGTCACAAAGTTCTAAGTCTATTTTTAATTGTCTCTATGTATACTTAAGTAACTTCTGTTATATATCTTTGGATCGTCACAAAGTTCCAAAATTCAATTACTTAAGTCTATTTTAATTGTCTCTATGTAAACTTAAATAACTCCTGTTAAATTTATGTGGATCGTTACACAGTTCCAAAAGTCAATTACTTAAGTTTATTTTTAACTGTTTTTATGTATACTTAAGTAAATTCTGTTAAATATCTTTAGATCGTTACACAGTTCCATAAGTTAATTGCTCAAGTCCATTTTTAACTACGCAGATAACAATTATTGTCAACAGTTATTAACACTAATGGTACTGAAAAGCTTTAAAGCGCAATTACGAATTAATTACACTTATCGACAACACTTTCAAGAAAATCTAAAATTGAGATTATTTAGTTTTCAATTATATCTAATTAATATTGAGTAGAAATTACTTTAGAACTGAAACAGAGGAAAGAAAAGTGGCGTCTATTAATAGCGTTTCTTTATCGACTGCGTTCGATTTCTCGTGGAAAAGTTGTGCAACAATGGCCTGCATTTATTTAAAGACGTAAGGAGAACACGAAAGATTATCTAAAATCGACACAACAATGTGTACATAGCTGATTGGTTTTCTTCCAATAAAAAAAAAGAAAAACAAGTCGAAACGTCGTGTTTGCATGATGAATTAGTAAAATATTTCCCACATTAATGTTACAGAATAAATATCAAAACGATCGAATGACACGGTAATAATATGAATGCCGAATCACCGATTTTAATCACAACTTTAATTATGGTTTGAACCAACAAATATCTAAATTAATACAGCGGAACCTCGCATAACGAGCGACGTTTTGCATAATGAGTGACAATGAGATGAGAAGTCCCGGATTGCGCGCATTTTTAAAACTTGTGTACACATATTATGTGTATTTTTTAATACGAGTAAAAATCCTGAAATTTTGGAACGGATTAAACTAGGTTAGCGAGGTTCCTATGTACGATCATTTTAAGTATCTTCTCTCAAGAAGTAGCGGTTCCTAATACACTCTTATCTGGTTAATATACAAGAAATTAAAATTTAAAAAATTGAGTTTTTCAACAAATTAAACATTTTATGTTAACACATAATACATGAAGGATAATCAAATATAAAACACTTGATAACAAGAAAAAATAAAGATCACAAAGTAAATAATCGAGCTAAAATAATGCTAAAACCAAACAAATCCAACTATTATGAAATTGTGCTGTACAGCAATTTGGATTACAAAAAAATATATATATTAAAAAAAAACGAGAGCGCGTTGTGAATTTCATAATTTGATTAGAATGACGCAAGAGGTAGAAAGATAAGCGAGAAATGTACGAGAGACATAAAACAAATATTTTTCTTTTTCCTTGTGTGTGGATATGCAGAGGTTAAGGCCAATGCGATTCAGAGAACTTCTCGGTTTTTGCGTACGAATCATCATCGTCGTCAACATTGACAGCAGGAAGCGTTGATAGAAATGCGGTTTATTATCGATTCCTCCTGCAGAAAAGTCTATTCAATATATCAACAGAAATTCGTCGCATTTCAAAAAAAAAATTAATAAAATTTCATAAATATTATTATAATCACAACAAACACGAAATTAGATGTAATAAGGTGAAAATATCTATATTTAGTGAGGATTTTGTGTATTAATTGTTGCAATACAAGAGACAATACTTTTTGTGAGAAAAGGTTTAAATCATTATTACCCAGAATATGACTCATCGCATCAACTGAATGGAAAAGTTTTCAAACAAACTATTTACTTATCTTTTTTTCTATAAATATAAAAGTAAAACAATGTTCGTCGATGATTGTAGTTGAATGGATGACTTTTACAAATACAGTACAAATATAATGAAATTCAAAACTACAACAAATTTCTAAATATTTCCCACAGTTTAATAAGCTTATTGTTAATAAACAAAAACTTCGTAATAAACGCTTCAATTATATAAAATAAATTTAGTGATCACAAAGTTTTACAACTTGACACGATGGAAATGGAAATGTCATTAAAATTTATGTAATTTAAAAATAAAGATTCAAATTACTAATGCAAAATGTTAAATATATTCATTTCAAGGATAATTTTATAATTAAATACAAAAAAAAACAGTCTCTTCGAACTTAACTATCATTAAATTACTTCAGCGCGTGTACGTGAATAATATTGATTAATTAATGTCAAGGATTAAACTTGAATATAAACTCATCAAAAAATGGTGCATTTTAAAGGAAACTGAACGTTTTGCAATTGCACGATTTGACAATAATGTAATGTTCTTTATCTAAGATTAGATTAGAATTACGTTGGAAAGGATTTAAAAGAAAATAGGAAGCACATTATGCCGACCCAGAATTCTTCTACTATAATAAATCTCTATGCAAATGTTGTTGTTGTCGCTGTTATTATTATTATCTGGCGAGCCAAGTGAACCGGAAGGGGGCCATCAGATTTGCGTAGATTATTCTAACAGGAAACTCACTCGTTAGGTGGAAAAATGCGATCCTGATCTCCACCATCCTCCTGCTGCCTACCGGCAATCACCTCGAGATGCATCTGGAGGTGAACACTGAGTATTCGCGACTCTCAAAAACGTGTGTAAACAAACACTAAACAACAAATACGACCTTTCTGCTGCTGGACGTGTGAGTGAGTGAGTGCACTTGGCGACTTTGAAACTTCGACTGACTGAGTAGTACGCGAATCGAGAGTGCCTTTGGAGAGTAGTATTCGTACACGCATGGAAGCTAACAACTTTCCATTATCGGCTGTATCCGAAATACAAATCGAGGCTATGATTCACGTACAACAACAATGCATGGCAAACGGATAGATAATAGACCAAAACA